TTCGGATTAACATGAGGAGGGTACAAATGATTAGGTTACATTGTTTGTGTTTCTAAGGTGAAGTTCAAGTTGTACTTGAGCTCTTGATCGGGGTGTGCTGATGTGCCCATTAGGTGAGAGCTTTCCAGTGTTTCTCCCACCTCTCCCTTTCTTTTTCCCTCCTTCCCACTTGAATAAACTTGTGTCTTTCTCTCCTATGGGTATGTAGTCGTTTTTCTATTGGTCAGTCTTGTCAGAGGGGTTTTTTTGATGACAACTCATAAATGACATCCTCCCCTCACCTCCAGTATTACCTTCTACAGCATGTTTAAAATTTTTTTATTCATATCATTAAGTGCAATTTGTAATTGTATGAAAATTCTGTGCCATGAAGGTAGGGATCACATTTGTTTTGCTCATCACTCTGTAAGGACTTGCCATGCTGGCTGGAAAAAAAGGAATGCTTCCAGCAGTACACATGTGTGAAATAATTAATGGATTATTATATTTGTGGAATATTGCTAGTAACTACTTATACAAATAAATAGATGTCATAAGTTTATATCCATTTTAGTAAACAATTTTATATTATTTCTTTCTTACAGACAGAACTACTGCCTTGCAATGAATGATAAATTTAAAAATTTTATTTTTCATGAATGTAGCATATATTATAAAAACAATGAAATAATAAGGAGGTATATTGAGAACATTATCTTTTAGTCTCTGTTGTCATGTAGACAATGATGTCTTATTTACTTAGCAATTTTGGCCAATGATAATATATTTGCATAAACTTTAGAAGTCATTTGGAAATATTGTCATTGTTTTTTAAGAAAAAAAGAATATGTTACAAACACCCCAAAATATTAAAATTATTATTTGTATTTTCAAAGAAATAATTAACCATGGGAGAAAACGTATGGTTTTTTTGCTGACATTAAGACAAATTATCAAGAGGTAATAATGCTTAAAGCAATGCTTAATTGTTTTAATATAATTGGTTCAAATTTTATAGCTGTGATGAGCAAAATGTTTCTTAGGATTTGACATTTATTTTATATGTATTTGGTTATTAAAACCCAAGACAATGTTTCATTTTCATGACTATAACACCCAACTAAACTTTATTACTTGTTTTGCTATGTCTGTGTCTACAGCAGTATCTCCCCACATTCTCAGCCTGCTGTATATGGTTGAGATAATACATCGGGTGTTGTTTTCCTCCCATTGCTTGTCACACATGAGGACAGTCACCCTTCTCCCAAAACTATAAGGTAAATCCCTCATTTATCAACTTCACTGTTCTCTTAACAGTCCAAGCAAAAATTGTCATTATGTTTGACATCTGTTTTAAGCTTCCCGCATCAGAGGAATCTGGCCGATTGTTCTATCAAACACTGCTATCAAATGCGCATTTGTTGAATCCCGGTTTGTTTAGGACGCTGGGTCATGAGTCCCCTACATAAAGGGCATATTGTTTCTAAAGAGTTCATAGTCGTGGTTGAATACAAAGAAAAAGAGAACAAAAAATTTCATTAGACTCAATTATCTATGGTGAGCTCCATGAAGGTGTGTTACAGCAACTCCCACAAGGCTCCTCATTCCACAGCATCCTTAGTCAACACCACAGCCGGTGTCATGCCCAAGAGGCTGACGTGCACCCAGTGTCTGCATATGTCATGTTCCCTCTTAGAGAACAGTTCAAAACAGAACTCTGGAATCCCCCCTCTCTCCGTGGTGATACGTTTGTACCCTAGTCTTTCCCATCTTAGTTGCTCAAGCAAACTCCTAGCTAATGTCCTCTTTGCTTCTTTCCATCTTTCCCATATCCGATTCTTGAGCTCTGTCTCTAAAAAACACACCAACTTAATATCCATTTTTCTTGCCACCAGCCCAAGTCTTTTCCATCCACATCCTCTTTTAGCCATCATTATCTCCCTATAGAATTCATGCAACATCTTCTGAAGTCTCACTGCAAGAATAACAAATGACCTTTTAAATACAATTCTCAGGTCTATCATTGGCCTGTTTAAAAGTCTCATAAGACTGTACCCTATAGTTATGAGTAAATCTAAGTTCTGACCACAAACTTTCGACCCTCTCTACACGTTGCCCGCTTCTTTCTTCCATGACCTTATCACAGAGTAGTGACCTAAAACTCATCCCCCTACTCTGTTCCTGCCACATTATTTCTCCTGCACTCCCTTGAGCTGCCATCTTCATCTACGTCTAAGGGCAAGGCATTTGCTGGTCTTTCTTTTTCCTCATATCATGTCATGGCTGCCTCATTCTCCTCACTCAACTCAACGTCATCACCTATTCAGAGAGAATTTCCCCAAGTACCCTTTGTAAGACAGTACCCCAGTGCCAACACATTCCTATCACAGTAATTTAATTTATAACACATGAATTTCTAAAATAATCTTATTTTAGTTTATTTCTTACAATAAATATTTTAGTTTAAAATAATTTTAGATTCATAATAAAGTTGCAAAAATAATTGAGAACTTGCCCTTATACAACCCCTGTCCATCTTCTACAAATGTGAACATACTATAAAACCATGACATATTTCTCAAAACTAAGAAATTGACCTTAGGATTGTACTCTCAGATCAACTGAAGACTCTATTCAGATTCTGCCAGTTTTCTTCTGCCGTCCTTCTCCATTCCAGTAGCCAAGTCACAACACCACATTGCATTATTCATCATGTTTTTCTTCAATCTGTGACAGGTTTTTTACTCTTTCCTGGTTTTTCATAATTTCGAAACTTTTGAAGAGTATTATTCCAGTATTTTGTAGACTGTTCTTTAATTTAGGCTTATATAAACTGTCTCCTGGTTAGACTGGAGTTATGGCATTTGGGTAATAATGTCACAAAAGAATAATGTCCTTCTTATTGTATGTTATCTAGAGATACATCATGTCAACATGCATTATCACTAGTAATGTTAGCTTTGATCACTTCCTTAATGCAATGTCTACCTGATTTGTCCAAAGTAAAATCACTATGACTTTTTCCCTTTCCATTCACTATCATTTTCAAGCATATCATTAAGTGCAGTCCATAATTAAAACAATGGGACTTATGCTTCATTTTCTTGGGTTAGTAAGTACTACTTTAATACTTTACATTTTATTTTGTATTTTTTATAGATAATAAATATTGTCTATAATTCTTCAGGGAAGCATTGTCTCTTTGCCTCTATTTTCTTTTCTTTCTTTCTCTTTCTTTTTTTCTTCTTTCCTTCCTTCCTTTCTTTCTTTCTATCTATCTTTCTTTCCTTTTTTGAGACAGAGTCTCACTAGAGAGCTGTGACATCACAGCTCACAGCAACCTCAAACTCTTGGGCTTAACCAATTCTCTTGCCTCAGCCTCCCAAGTAGCTGGGACTATAGGCACCCACCTCAACTCCTGGCTATTTTTTTTGTTGCTGTTGTTGCAGCTGTCATTGCTATTTAGCTGGCCCAGGCCAGGTTTAAACCCGCCAGCCTCAGTGTATGTGGCTGGTGCCCTAGCTACTGAGCTACAGTCATTGCCTTATTTATTTATTTTTATTTTCATAATATGTATTTCTTTATTTTTTAATTAAATCATAACTTTGTACACTGATGCATTAATGGGGTTCAGTGTTCTGCTTTGATATACAATGTGAAATGCTTACATCAAACTAAGTAACACATCCATCACAATTGTACTCATTTCTTAATAGTTTTGAAATGTACCATTGCATCATGCACATTAGGTGAGGCCTTCCCCAAACCCTCCCTCCTCCCTTATCCCCCCCTTCCCTCCTCTCTCTCTCCTCTTCTCTTCTACTTTCTGGACTATAGTTATGTTTTGCCATTCATATGAAAGTATAGGTGATTATATATTGATTTCATAGTAGTACTGAGTACATTGGATACTTTTTTTCCCCACTCTTGAGATACTTTACTAAGAAGAGTATGTTCCAGCTCCATCCAGGTAAACATAAAAGATGTGAAGTCTACATTCTTTTATGGCTGCATAGTATTCCATTGTGTACATATACCACAATTTGTTAATCCATTCATGGGTGGATGGGCACTTGGGCTGTTTCCATGTCTTGGCTATTATGAATTGGGCTGCAACAAACATTCTGGTGCAAATGTCTTTGTTGTAAAATAATTTTTGATCATCTGGGCAAATGCCTAGTAGAGGAATTACAAGATTAAATGATAGGTCTACTTTTAGTTCTCCAAACTTTTTTCCTAAAAAGTCATATTAGCTTGCATTCCTACTAGCAGTGTAGAAGTCTTCCCTTCTCTCTGCATCTATGCCAGCATCTGTAGTTTTAGGATTTTTGTGATGTGGGCTAATCTTATTGGAGTTAGATGATATCTCAAAGTGGTTTTGATTTGCATCTCTCTAATCATTAAGGATGATGAGCATTTTTTCATGTGTTTGTAGGCCATGCACCTGCCTTCATCAAAGACGTTGCCCTATTTATTTAATTTTCTAATAATGAACTTATACACTAGTGATTAATGGATGTTTATTTTATTCTTTGAGTTATATCCACTTTAGTTGCATATGGTCCAAGACATCCCAGTCAAATGTAAGTTTCACAGGGGCAGAGAATCTCATTTGCCTTGCTCATCACTGTAATCCCAAGGCCTAAAATAATTCTGGACACATTTACATATTCAATAAGTGTTGGTTAATAAAAGATTAAATAATATGAATACATATTTTCATGATAATTTTTACTCATCATTCTTCATCACTTAATTAAAGGATGAAAGGGTTTGAAAAGCAAAAGAATTTTTAATACATACATTATGTTCGGTGAGGCTTTTAAGGTCTTGGTATAGAATTCTAAACAAATCTGACCAATTTAAGCCAGAAATTTAGCTTCAATCTAGCAATAAAGGTAGACCACATCTCTTACTGAGATTTGCATTAGCTTAATACAACATATGTAGACGACGGTACAAACACAGGAACACACAGTTCCGTAATTAGCAGTTCACGTGCATTATTGTCGTTTTCTTACCTTCTGCACAATAACCCATGCATCCTTGAGTGGGCTGTAGTAAGTACACAAAAAATTTCCCGCAATTTCTCACAGACACCGGAATTTGAAAGAGACAGCAGTCCTTTGTAGTGCTGAGCAAAAACTGCCATGTGGCACAAGCTGTCAGATGCTTGATCTCCCCAGGAGGCGGCAGAGTTTCTGAATCCCTCAGAGATAGCCAGATGGGGGCCTGAGTTCCACAGCGGTTCATCTTTTGCATCAGAAAAAACAAAGTTTGAATATCCAATGTATTTTCATACATGGTAGATATACATGTATCAATGTGGCATTTCCTTCTAAGCAGCATTTAAAACATTAAATTATCAATCATTTACAAAATCAATTCTGAACTTGCACTATACCAGAAAATGTAGTTGTAAGGAATGCCACCTTTAAGGGCAGACTCCTCATTATTAACACGTTATAGTCGATGTAAATACCTTTTTCCACTTGTTACAATGGTATTGTAGACAAGAAAAATTCAATCTTACATAATTTACTGAAACAGATGACACTTTCTAAGACAAGTCAATCTGATGTCAACATAGAATATAAAGACAAACTAATCTTGAAATTGTTAGAAAGAGTAAGTATGTGAAGTTAATTCATAGTTTAGGAGGCAACAAAAATCAGGGTGAAGGAAGGGATTGTTAAAATCTGGCAATGAAACAACTGTTTAGCAATTTGGAAGAATAAAGCCTACTTGAAGCCAATTGCCAAAGTCATTTCCAAAGAAAAAATAGGATTAACTAACCTAGGAAAAATAAAGAGAAACTATCTATAATTTGGGGAGAACCAGCCACTTATTAAATAAATGCATGACATTGGTCAAGGCACCCAAAATGCTTTTCTTTTGTATTAGGTAGATAGTAGTACCCACATCAAAGTCTTATGGTATGGTACAAATAAAATAATGTATATAATGCAACTTCCACATAGCAATGATTCTATAGCTGTTACCCATTTATAATTCCTAATATTGTTATTGTCATGCTTAAAAGCAAAGGAAAAAATCATAGAGGAAAGACTGATAAATAGAATTAAATAATAATTTTAAAAATATAAAATAAGAGTTGAGTAAGAAGAAAATTATTTGTCACTAATGTATTTAGTATGTTATTTATTGTTATACTGTTGTACTTCTTATTTTAACCACACAACACTGTCCATTTAAAAACTCTAAGACAGGCTGGTGTGGTGGTTCATGCCTGTAATCCTTGCACTCTGGAAGGCCAAGGCGAGTGGATTGCTTGAGCTCATAAGTTCAAGATCAGCCTGAGGAAGAGTGAGACCCCCGTCTCTAAAATTAGCGGGGCATTGTTGGCAGGAGCCTATAATTCCAGCTACTTGGGAGGCTGAAACAAGAGAATCGCTTAAGCCCAAGAGTTTGAGGTTGCTGTGAGCTATAATGCAACAGCACCCTACGGGGGTGACAAAGTGAGACTCTGCCTCAAAACAAAATAAAGACCCCATCTTGGTGCATGTAGCTCAAGCGGCTAGAGTGCCAGCCACATAAACCAGAGCTGACAGGTTCAAATCCAGTGTGGGCCTGCCAAACAACAAGGACAACTACAACCAAAAAGATGGCTGGGGGTTGTGACGGGCACCTGTGGTCCCAGCTGCTTGGAAGGCTGAGGCAAGAGAATCGCTTCAGCCCAGGAGTTGGAGGTCGCTGTGAGCCCTGATGCCATGGCACTCTACCCAGGGCAACAGCTTGAGGCTCTGTCTCAGAAAACAAACAAACAAAAAACTCTCAGACCACAAGTAGACAAGATATACCAACATATAATTCATAAAAAAATAAGAATACAGATGCCTAATGAATACATAAAAATATTCAATTTTGAATTGGTAGTTTTATCCACTGACATTGGAATTAACAATCATCATTATGGGCTCAGTGCCCATAGCTCAGTGAGTAGGGCACCTGCCACATACACTGAAGCTGGTGGATTTGAGCCCAGCCCGGACCTGCTAAACAACAATGATGACTGCAACAATAAAAAAAAAGAAGAAGAAGAAATAGCCAGGCATTGTGGCAGGCACCTGTAGTTCCAGCTACTCGGGAGGCTGAAGCAGGAGAATTACTTAAGCCCAAGGGTTTGAGGTTGCTGTGAGCTGCAATACCACAGTCTCTACTGAGGGCAACTTAGTGAGACTCTGTCTCAAGAAAAACAAAAAACAAAAAACCAATTATCATTGTGTTTTAAATAATTATATGTATCAGAAACCTCAAGAAGACATTAATCTTCTCTAACTTTAAAAAATCAATCTTCCTAAATAAACCAAAATTAAAATGATAATTATACGTACACTTGCTAACTAAAATTATTTACAGCAAAATACTAAATATGCACAGATATGGCAATGTTCTAAATAAATATATCATATGAGGGAATGTTCTTTTCAAAAATTATATGAAAGAATTTATAATAACATAGGAAAATGCTAATGCTATAACTGTAACTGAAAAAAAAGCATGTTATACAATTGAACATATAGGATGTTCAAACATTTATTTTGTTACAAAACAATATAAATAAGACAAAATAATAGCAAGTGCTAATGGTAATTATGATTCTGTTGATGGATAATGAATAAATGCTGTTCCATATCTGTTCTTCATTTTCTAAGTTTCCTGTAAAGCACATGTATCACTTTAAACATCACAAATAGAAATGTATGTAAACAGCTATGCATTATCACACAGAGAAAAAAAACTCCATTGTCTTCCCAGTTGAATGCTTTAAAGTCTTGGTTCAAGAAGGGAGCAAGAGGTGAGGGCCCGGGACACTTCCTTCCCCATGAAGCTGAGCTCCAGGAAAACAATTTCTCCTTTGCATTTGTTTGAGATTCTAGAGTCAATTATATATAACTAATTTAGTCAAAGGAAAGGAACATAAGGATGTATGAATTTCCTCCATTTTTCTCAAACTCCACTTTTTTTTTTTTTTGAGACAGAGCCTCAAGTTGTCCCCCTGGGTAGAGTGCCGTGGCATTACAGCTCACAGCAACCTCCAACTCCTGGGCTCAAGCGAGTCTCCTGCCTCCACCTCCCAAGTAGCTGGGACCACAGGCGCCTGCCACAACGCCCGGCTATTTTTTGGTTGCAGCCGTCATTGTTGTTTGGCGGGTCCGGGCTGGGGATTCGAACCCGCCACCTTAGGTGTACGTGGCTGGCGCCTTAGCCGGTTGAGCTATAGGCGCCAAGCCTCAAACTCCACTTTTAAATTCTGACTATTTTTAGTTTCTTACAAATGAAATGTTACAAAAGGGACAAATAAGCAAATACTAGAGAAAAATAAGATTTAACCACCGAGCCATAAATTAAAATTAAACATAAAATTTGAACATTCTTCCTGAAGCCTTTGACATTATTTCTTAAGAGGAAAATAATACCTGCTTATTTCCTTATAATGATAAGGAAACCAAGACATAATCCTATATGATAAGGTCTCATTCCAGGGGTCAATAGTATCTGTCTATCCCCTAGGTTTACACAAAATCATTCTTAAGAACAAAATCACACCCAATACAGTATATGGTTATCTAGAGTAAAAGTGTGAGCAATGCTGAATACCTTTAGTAATTTGGCCAGCATGCCATGGAAACATTTCTCAAGTGACATGTTCCCGTATCAGCTTTTTGTGACAATAGAACACCATTTGTGTCAGAACTCACTTGGGAAACTAGTCAGCAGAGACACAGGGTGAAGGCTTCATTCTATGGAAGATACTAGCATCACTGAGAAAGCTAGTGGGTTTATACAGGTGATTATGTCCCCCAGGGGGATGTATCAGTTATAAAATAAATGTTAGGCTAAAACCCTTCCTTACCATTTTTTTCCCATAACATAACATGCTAAGTTAATGGACTTAGTTGTCTCATTCTTTAAATCATGTGCATAAAAACATGGTATCAAAAACAGGAGCTGAGTTGAAAGGCTAACTGGTCAAAAGTATTATAAGCAGAGATAATGTCTATTTTATGGCAGTATCATCAGAAAAATGGGGACTGTGCATTAATTGGGGGAACCTGCCCTGAAAAATCATGCTAAGGATAGTAAAATTATCAACAGAAATTCAAGGAATAGCTAGATAATGAATGCAAGCTAGCTTAGGAATACCAAAACAAAACAAAAGAAGAAAAATCCATGCCTATCATTTTATTCATTTGAGCTTATTCTTTGAGTTATTTTTAAAGACAATGTATGTCTGTCTATCAAAACTTCCTGAGTGAAAGAAGCCACAAGGGCAAGTTTATTAAACAAGACATTGCCATGAGAAGATCATATCTTGTGGTCAAGAAAGCAAACTGTGAAAAGACAAGTGGCAGAAAAATTGATCTGGTGTGATTTCATGTGTAAAAGTTAAAAAATAGATAAAATTAAATACAGTGTGTTTAGATGACACATGATGTGTACCTACAACCATCAAGGAAAACAAGGTATGGTGGCTGCACAAATTGTGGGTCTGAGGAGGAAATTTTGGTGGGATGAGCCACCAGCTTGTCTCTCCAGGTCTCCAGCCTGGGACAAATTGTGGGTTTGAGGAAGTTTTGATGGGATGAGCCACATGCCTCCATCTCCAGATCCCCAGCACATAAGCCCTGGAGAATGACTACCTGCGTTCAAAACTTAGCTTTTCGACCAGCTAGTTGGTTGACTCTACGAGAATTATGCATGTTTTTTGACTGTTTGATGAAAATGATGACAGATTTTATCCTAGACTTGTAAAAACTATATACAATATTGTAGGAAAAGTCACTTGGGGACTGCAGGGAGCATAACTCTTACCATTATTATTAGACTAGGTAGTGTGGGAATAATTCTTTGGATTAGCTCATTCTGATACAAAATTATAACAATATTTCAGCATAAGAATAAATGTGGTTATAGAAAGATTCAATACTTGTATTTAAAAATATAAGGACAAGGACATGTAGTTCTTAGGAAGTTGAAATACCTCAACACATTTAGTTGGCATTTCAGCAGGTCTATCCAAGATGAGAAATCGATACCATCCAGGGGAGAGGGAGTGGTCGCATATCAGCTCTTGAACAGCTGACTGCTGGAGGTGCAGTGAGTCAACATGGACACTTCTATATGGACTCCGAAGAAACCTGTGTCCTCCAGGAAAGCACTCCTTAGCTAGGAAGGAAAGAGGTGTTTTTATACAAAGTGCTTTGTTCATTGACATAGTTCACTACTCAATAGAAACTGGCTGCAAAAAAAGGAAAATAAAGCAAATATTTGACACATAAGGACCATCTGAAATGTTAGAGTCTCTTAGTAAATCGAAGATGACTTAATTTGCACTTATACACATAAGAAACAAATCAACAAAATCATTTGAGTGTGTTTTTGAGGTACATAGTACATAAGATGAGCAACTTTTTTCATTTAATTTTTTTAAATTTAGTTTCTTGTGTTAGGATTTGTGTTTTCTGACCGCCTCAAGTCATAGGCCCTACAAGGATTCCCCTTAGGCCTGGGCCTCCGGATTTGAATGCCATGATTGACCTTCCATGACTAAGATTCCTATCAAGTAGCCACAACAATGTACCTCTGCCAGATCCTGGAATGCAAGGAACTGAACTAATCTTTGAATGTCCATCTTCTTTTCATAAGGTCCCCTCATTCTGCAGCTTTGCGTATTCTTGGTGCAGGAAAGAAGGAAACATTTTATAACTTTCCTTCCTTGTTTGCTTCCTTCCTCCCTCCCTCCCTTGATCTCTCCTGCTCTTCCTCCCTTCCTTTAGCAAAGATAGGGAAAAGATGGGGTGGAGGCAAGCAGGTCTGAAGACTGGAACAGGAAGACTGGAACTGGACAGATGACTGGAAAAGGAAGAGTTTACCATCCTGTCTTTTCTTTCCTTTTTCTTTTTCATTTTTTGTTCTCTTCCTTTTTATTTTTTATTGGTGTGGGGGGGCTTTTCTTATGCACAGTCATTGGCCTGTGAGATACTTTTTCTGTCAAATCCACACATGCAGAACACAAAGTTCCTCTTTTTAGCATTAAAGAAAGAGAGATTAGGCAGTAAAAACAGAAATATCCTAGAAATTCGACTCGTACTTGGGATTGAGGTACCTCTATTCTCAAGTTACTCAAATAATGAGCATTACCAGGAACTGTCCTTATTTGAGTACTAAGAAATCTGGTTGACACACTAGGTAGAAAATCTCCAAATACTATATATTATATGTACGGAAGGAAAACACTGTAATAAAAGCACTATCTATAAAATAGAAATATGAAAGAAACAATTCAATTATTACTAAAGTACTTCACTGTGAAAAACCTTACCTAACTTATCTTTAAAAACTCTCAAAGATACACTACATAGTTTTAAATTACAGAAGTATTTTTTAAGCAAAAACAATTCCTCAAATTAATAAAGATACAGTAAATTAGAGATACTAATTTACAAGTGAAGCTCACAAGTATAGTTTGTAAAATTTTTCATTAGAATTATGTTGCTTGTGGTTGTAGAAATTAAACTTTATAAAAGGTATGGTATTTTTATAATGAGATCTTTTCAAATAACTTTTTTTTTAGTAAAAGATTTTAGGAGTGATCACAAAACACTTCTCTTCTTTTTAATCTCTAGATCTGACATAGTTGTAAATTCCCCAAGAAGAATTTCACCCAAAAGTCTCCAATGACTTTGGTAATCACAATCTTTTAATACCAAATAAATATTTCATAAAATGTGTGCAGACAGAAGTCAGATGATGTGTTACAATTACATATATAAATAAGTATGTCACATACAGTTAGAAACTAAGAAAAGTGTTTTTAAAGAGATGACTAATGTGATTTGCATAAATCATAAAATGTCTTCTCTGATCTATTCTCTGCAATAGAATTTTGTTTTGGGGAAAAAAAATCAGTAACTCTGCCTTTATTTTGTGTAATGTTTCTCCTTCCTAAGTGCCTCTGTAGTTCTCACATTTCCCCTGATTTTCCTACTTTAAACAATTGTTTTCTAATCCAAAGCTGAAACCGTAGTGTGTTCAAATTCACTCTGTGACATCAACAGCACTAGACAACTGTGTAATATTTAAACAGAAATTTAGTTTTATTTGTATTTAATATTTATTTCATAGGATAATTCTTAATTCATACACATACTTTGTTATTTCATAATTTATTCCTAAAAAATCTACTTATCTCTTTTAGAATGTTCATGGTCTGTGCAGAAAATTCAAAAAATTTATAAGCAATAAATAAGCTACACTATAAAACTTTCATTCCAACCTTAGCTCTAGAATGTTATGATATAGTTAACCATGTGAGAATTATAATGGTCTGGGCTCCCACTTGGGAAACTGGGGGCTCAGTGCCTCTAACATTCAAAGGAAGGCTCCACAAGCCTATCTGACTCATCAGTCAAGTTCCTGGATGACATGCAGGGCTTTCGAGCACACTGACAACATAACTTTTCCCCTCAAAACAAAAGTACATATAAAGTATACACTAACATTTACATTTCTCTTTATTCTGTCTTTTTCCTGACATGATTTAAGGAAGCTAGATAATAGAATTTGCAACACATGGATTTCAAATGCCTTAGGAGAATATGTCAAGTTTCAAATAATAGATATATAGTGAAGAATATGCACGTGGTCTCTTGGTTTTGTTTATAGATATAACATAACCTATATAAGATTGTTCCTGCTGAGATACAATAGTGAAGACTCAAATTCTTTAAAATTCTGGATTGATGAGCAAACAGTACATTAAGAAACTAAATAAATCATTTTATGTTTAAGAGTTGAGCATGCATAACACCTGATGACAGGCAATTCATAATAACTGAGTTTGTAATTGTCAAACCTTCTTATATTGAACTGTGGGAATTACAAAATGATAAAATCTTATAACTCCCCCAAAGCTGAAAACAAACCACTTTTCAGCTCCAACTTCAATGAGAAATTAAAAGTTAGTAATTTAGTTTCTGACACAACAAAATTTTGGGTTCTCCATCAAAACAAAAGTTTCAAAAGTAGGAGCAAAACAGAAAGTAATCGGCTTACTAAATCAGGTCACTTTGTCCTCCTCTAAGTATTAAGGGACAAACTGGGTACCTCTTGAAGAGAATACAGTTAGATCGAAAGTTAAAGAATGGAAAATACGTATTATATCATGCACATGGCAACCAAATGAACGTTGGAGTGGCTATATTGTCAGGCAAAAAAAGATCTCAAAACAAAAAAATCTTACTAGAGATAAGGAGGAACATTTTATAATGAAAAAAGTGTCAATCTATAAGGAAAATTAATAATTATAAGCATTAATAAACCCAATAACAGAATGCCAAAATATACTGTAAAGCAATATCTGAGAGAAACTAAGTGGCAAACCATATATTTTAATAGTAATGGTTGGGAATTTCAATACCTTTATTACAAATGAATAAAAAATATAGGCAGAATATCAACAAGAAAATTAAGACTAGAACAAGCACTATAAATCATCTTGACCTAGAAGACATGAATAGAACACTATTCTTAACAACTGCAAAATATAAATTCTCTCCAAGTACACACAGAACATTCTTTAGGATAGACCATAAGCTAGAGACCATTAAACAAGCCTCAATACATTTAAAAAGAAAATCAGACATGGTGGCACATACCTGTAGTCCCATTTACCCCAGAAGCTGAGGTGTCAAGATCACTTGAGCCCTGGAGTTCAAATCCAACATGAGCAATATCAGGAGATGCCGCCTCTAAAAGTAAAATTAAAAAAAAATTTTAAAGATGCAATTCATGCAAAGTATGTTCTCTGATGACAATGGGATAAACTTAGAAATCAATAACAGAATGAAATATTTGAAACATAATTAAACAACCTACATAATCACTTAGTGAAAGAAGAAATGAAAGGAAAATTAGAAAATACATGTATAAAAATTAAAAATGAAGATACATATCAACATACCAAAATTATAGGGTGCTGCTAAAGTAGTATTTAAAAGGAAATGCTTATATTAAAAATGAAAAAACAAATCTCAACATAACAAGGTAACTTTGTACCTTAAGACACTGGAAAAAGAAGAGCATACTACATCTAAAGGAAGTAAAAGAAAGAAAATTTTAAAGATTGGAAAGGAAATTAATGAAAGTGAGAATAGGAAATCAATAGAGAAAAATCAATGACACCAAAAGCTGGTTCTTTGAAAGGGTCAGCAAAATTGACAGATATCTAAATCAATTTACTAAAAAATGAAGAGGAGACTCAAATTACTAGAATCAGAAATGAAACAGGGGACACTGCTGCAGACCCTATAAAGGAATATTATAACTGTTGCATGGTAATAATTAGATAACTTAGATAAGATTCACAAATTCTTAAAAAGACACACACTTCAAAACTGACTCAGAAAAAAAAAATCCAAATAGATTTACAAAATGTGAGAAGATCAAATCAGTCATCAAAAGATCACCCACAAAGAAAAGGCCAGGCCCAGTGGGTATCAACGATAAATTACAAAGAACATTTTAAAAATTAATGCCAATTCTTCTCAAACACTTCCAAAAATATGAGAAGAAAGAACACTTGGCAGCTTTTTCTATTACAGCCCATTATTGTGGTTACTCTGACACTAAACCTAGAAAAATACATTATAAGAAAAGAAGACTATAAACTAACATATCTTTTGAATATAGATACAAAAATATGCTAGCAAAGCAAATCCAGAAACACAGAAAAAGAATTATAAATTATGTACAAGTGGGATTTATCCCAGGAAAACAAGGTTGCTTCAATAGCCATAAATGAATTATTATACTATGCCATATCTGCAGAACACATATCAAAATACACATATTCATCTCAATAGACAGAAAAGACATTTGAAAAAATTCAACAAATTTTCGTGATATATGAAATACTAAAAAACTAGGAATAGAAGAAAAGTTCTTCACCTTAATAAAGGGCATGTACAAGTCCATAGCTTACACCTTACTTGAAGAAGAAAGGCTGTGTACTTTCCCATAAGGTTAGGAACAAGACAAGGGTGTCTACTCTCACACTCCAAGTTAGCATTATACTTTAGATTCTAGCCATGGAAATTAGGCAAGATAAATAAATAAAAGATACTGGGGTTGGAAAGGAAGAAGTAAAACTACCTCAATTCACAGATGACCTGTTCTTAAATATAAAACATTCTAAGGAATCCACAAAAAACTACAGTACAATCATCCTTTGAGGTCCATGGGGGATTGGTTCCAGACCTCAAAACCCACACACCCCCATATAGAAAATTGGCTCTCTTGATATTTGAGCTTTCCATCCCACAAATATTGTACATTTGATCTATGTTTGCTTGCAAATATGGACAACTTTCTGATATGGAGGCCCAATTGTATTTACTGAAAAAAAAAATGCAAGTATTAATGGATCCATGCTTTCAGACCCCCATGTCCAATGGTCAGTTGTATTAGAACTAATAAATGAGTTCACTAACATTCTTACACATTGCAGCAAGTAGGCTGAAAATGATTTTTTAAATTCCATTTACAATTACTTCAAATGAACAAAATATTTAGGAATAAATTTAACAAAAGAAGTATAAAACATTCAACATCACCAAACATTGCTAAAAGAAATTAAAGATCTAGGTAAATGGAAATATATTCATGTTCAAAGGTAGGAAGACTTAATATTGTTAAGATGACAATATTCTCCAAATTAATCTTCACATTCATGACAATCCCTCTCAAAATATCAGTTGATTCATTTGTAAAACCTGACAAACTAATTCTAAAATTCATAGAGAATTTCAAGGGACTCAGAATAGCTAAAACAATATTGAAAAAGAACAAAGTAGAACTCATATTTTCCTGTTTCAAAATTTACTACAAAGCAACAGTGGTCAAGAAAATGTAGTTGGCTCAATGCCTATAGCTCAGCCGCTAGGGTGCCAGCCATATACACCAGAGTTGCCAGGTTTGAATCCAGCCTGGGCCCGCCAAACAACAATGACAACTGCAACCAAAAATAGCCAGGCATTGTGGGGGGCACCTGTAGTCCCAGCTACTCAGGAGGCCGAGGCAAAAGAATCACTTAAGCCCAAGAGTTAGAGGTTGCTGTGAGCTGATGACACAGCACTCTACCCACGAGAACATAGAATAAATTGTACATGTATAAACTGTACAATACGATTTATATAATTTAGCCATAATAGGCAAATCCAAAGAGACAGCACTCTACCCAGGAGAACATAGTGAGACTCTGTCTCAAAAAATAGACATAAAATTATACATGTACACATGTATAACATAGTGAGACTCGGTCTCAAAAAAAAAAAAAAGAAGAAAAAAAAGAAAATGCAGTACTGGCATAAGGACAGACATATAAGTCAATGAATAGAATCAAGAGTCCAGAAATAAACCCATGTATCTATGGTCAATTGATTTTTCTGACAAAGGTTCCAAAACTGTTTCTTGGGCAAAGGGCAGTCTTTCCACCAAATGTGTTGGAAAATATGGATATCCACGTGCCAAAGAATGAAGTAAGACCCTTACCTTATACTATACACAAAAATTAGTTCAAAATCAATCAAAGACCAAAATATAAGAAATAGAACTCATAGGAAAAAATATTGGGCTAAATCTACATGACTTTAGATTTAGCAATGGATTCCAAGATAAGACAACAAAAGCATAAGCAACAAAAGAATAGAAAAATTGGACTCATCAAAATTAAAAAGTTCTGTGCTTCAAAAGATACTAGGAAGTGAAAAGACAGCCCACAGAGTGGGAGGAAATAATTGAAAATGACATAGCCAGTAAGAAAATTCTATCTTAACTACACAAATAATTCATACAACTCAGCAAGAAAAAGGTCACAGGACAATTTAAAATGGCAAAGGACCCAAGTAGATATTTCTCCAAAGACATATATAAATGTCCAATAAGCACAACAAAAATATGCTTTTGAGAACATTAGACACTAGGAAAATAAAAATCAAACTACAATGAGATGTGACTTCACAACTACTAGGATAGTGAGAATCAAAATATCAGATGCATTTTGTTAAATACCAGTGTTGATAGGAACGTGAGAATTTGGAAACTTCATGCATTGCTGCAGGAATACAGAACAGCATAGTCACTGTGGAAAACATCCAGCTACTCCTCAAATAGCCATAGCTACCTTATGCAATCATTCCACTCCTAGGTATATATCTAACAGAAATGAAAAGATATATCCAAGTGAAAACTTGTACCTGGGCGTTTATAGCTCTTTATAATAGCCAAAAGGTATGAACAACACAAATATTCATTAACTGACGAATGTACATACCAAATGTGGTATATCCTTACCATGGAATATTATTCCACTCTAAAAAGAAATGAAGTACTGATACAGGCTACAAGAGAGATGAACGTTGAAAATATTATGCTAGGTGAAAGAAGCCAGACACAAAATTATGGTACAATTCCATGTATATAAATTACCCATAAGAGGCAAATCCAAAGAGACAGTGCAGGTTAGTAACTGCTTATGCCTAGGAAGGCAGGGAGGATGATAGAGGGTGTGGGGGATGACAGCTAAAAGTGCAGCTTTCCTTTCTAAATTGATTAAAAATGTTCTAAAGTGTATGGTAGTGATGATTGCACATACCTGTAAATATACAAACCCCCCCCCAAAGTTGCACATTTTAATTGATTTGTATGGTACATGACCTGTATCTTAATAAAGCTGTTTAGAAGAAAAGTCTCAATAAATATAATTTCCATTCACCTCTTTTAGTTCTACTCTATTAAAAATAAGTAAGTGATCACCTTTAACATGAACTTGAAACCTGATTAATGGATAATATTTGCCTTTAGTGGAAAGATTACAAAGCTATTATCTAGAGTCAAAAAAACGATTAGATGATCCACGGTGAATATGAAAGCATCTTCCCTTACAAATAGTTGTCTTTTTTCCTGTAAATATTTGTTCTGACACTAATAAACAAATATGTAATATGTTATTACAGGTATTTTTTTAAGCCCATCATAAAGAAGAAGGCACAGATAAACAATGCCTTCTCAATGTGTATCATTTCAGGAAATAATTGATAAATTGAGTTTTAATACCCTTTTTAAAAATTTTACATGAGAGACTGCTCATCCTTTCTTTTGGCAGAGCAAACTTACACTAGTAAAATGGATTCAGATCAACAAGATAGCAAAAAGACAAAACTATATTCTGAACCGTTATGAACATTGTACATAATTTTTTTCAAGCTTCAGATAGTTGTACATGAATCCAATTTATTTCTGAAAAACATACGGAAACTTGCAACACGTACAAAAACAAATGTGCTTTCATTTAATATTCCTATCTGCGGGTGGCGTCTGTGGCTCAAAGGAGTAGGGCGCCGGGCCCATATGCCAAAGGTGGTGGGTTCAAACCCACCCCTAGCTGTAAGAACACAGAAACAAGCAGGAAGGGCCAATGAACGTTGTTTTGTTAACTTCATTGCATTTTAAACTAAGTTTTCTTTGACGTGGCTTAGAGCAGTGGGAGAGACTGTTCTCTCCATAGAGACCACTTTCGCAGTAGCAAAGCTAATTCTAACAAATATACACAAATACAATACAACACACAAAACTTAGGGATTTATTATAGGGATAAAATGTTCACAACTAATTATTTCCGGGGCTGCTGGAGGAAGCAGAAATTGTAGGATTTGGAGTTATCTTTTCTGATAATTCAGATCCACCTGCTGGGATACCTGGCAGATGCAGTGAAATAGGACCTTACAGAGCAACTGTATCACTAGAAAACAAATAAGAATAGAACCGAGGGTCCGCCTGCGCACCCAGCTGGAGAGCACCCAGCTGGAGAGCACCCAGCTGCAGAGTGGCAGCTTCAGAGACAGCAGCCGGACAGAGCAGAGGAGGGTGAGAAGCAAACACCAGTTGTGGCTTGAGGACGCACAGGGACACTCCGCGCGTCATCCGGTAAGTCAGTCCCCCTACTGCCCAGGGGGCGCCCCGCGCCGGCGCCCTCCAGCCCTACCTCGCCGACCTTTCCCGGGCGCCAGGAGCATCAGCGCGGTCACCAGCGCCCAGGCTCCGACCGGCATCGCCGCTCCGGGAGGCGGGAAGGAAGGTATCCAAGAGCCTAGCCGCCGGTGCCAGGAGGATGGGGCCACTGCAGCCCCTCAGCCCTTCTGTGAATTTTCTGAGTCTGGTCCTGGAGGCTTCAGCGAAGCTGCATGTCCTCCCCTGGGGCGCAGCCAGGTTTCTCCACAGACGGGGATCAGAGCCTGCGCTCTGCGGCTCTGCGACTCCTCCCTCCCAACTTTGACGGCCACGCCCTTCTACCTGTCCTGGGAGACTGCCCTGAGCGGGGCCTGCCCTCTCTTGTGGCTGCCGCGCGTAGGATGTCGCCCTGCAGTCACACAGCCAGGGCCAGGCCCCCGAGAGGCAGCCTGGCGCGCAGCGTCTTACTGCCTTAACATGTGCTTTACAAAAACTTGGTAATCCTAGAAAATGTTCAGCTGGGCCGTCTGTAAAAGAAGCCTTGCGATGTTCTGCTGTCAGGGCCCCCCTGACAGTAATTGCGACTGGATGTCTAACCGCATAATCTGGATGCCAGTCTGATCTAAGAGTTGAACGTGCCTCTCACAATGTGCTCTTGCTTGTGATCCCAGCACACCCTGAGTTTTCCGGGGGTGACCCAGTGACCCAGGATCCTTCAGCACGTGACTGTCACACGACTCTCAGGGTTGCCCTGGAGATAGTTTCCAATTAGTGGAGTTGTCTTCAGAGATGTGGTTGCCTCTGAAGAGGGAGAGGGTCCTTTTTCCAACTGATTCTAAGCCTTTTCATGTATAGAAATGAAACCTCACTCTCAGTGTTTCTCTGGCCATCTCAGTCCTTGAGTCTGGATCCATCGCCTGGGACTTGACTCTCACAGAGCCTTTACCTGAGGAGGAAGGAGCCACCGGACATCAGCCTGACAGTCTGAGGGTCCTACAGGCAGCAGAGTTTATACAACAGTTCCACCTACAGGTTTGGAGGATCAAAGTTGGGCTAGGCATGGTGCTGAAGACAGGTGGTGCCCCAAAGCATAAAAAAGTTATTTTTTAAATTGTTTATAATTCTTTTTTAATATGAAAGGAAAATTACTATTTTAAAGTTTAAAACCTATCTCCAAAAGCAAAAAAAAAAAAAAAAAAACTCATCTTCGAAAATAATTTCTTTTTATATAGGCAATACCTGTATATAGCCCCATTTATAGGCATAATGGGTACCCAGTTTTCTAGGATAAAAATAAAAAGTACTTTTTTGGTGAGAGGTAGGAAGATAATTTTTATCATAACAATCTAATCGTGGAAAGACAATTTAACATGGGCAGGAGGAAAACCCCAAAGATTTCTTAATGTACAGTATGTCTTTTGTTTCAACATATAAAGTCCTAGTAAAAACTGAGACAAAGAAATAAATATAAACAATCTCAGTTTATTTCTGAAATCACCAGAAATAAATTGATATTTATAATCAGGATCAAATAATAGCAGGCCTTTTGTGAATTTGTCGATCAGTATCTGTACAAATGTAATAAACTTTTATACTTTCTTGGAGTCTTGGAGGACAATATCATTTACCTGACTGTCATAAAACATACAATTTAAAATACTGTGGACCTTATTTTTTTCTTCAGATTTTGATTCATGAATACGAGTTTATTACTTTACAAAAGATCTGCACCAAAACCCACTTACATAACTCACTTATATTTTCTTCCATAGAGGTTAAAATGGAAAAAACTAAAAACAACTTAAGAATTTTTTTCAGGTGTCCCTGGCTTGGATCTGCCAGAACATACTGGCTAATTATTAGTTATAGAACTGAATAAGAAACAAAAGGCCTATGGAAACCTACTTATATTTACTCACACTTTGTTATGAATGATAGAACACAACAATAGCCCAGGATGAAGGAGAGAAATGGAGTGAGGGGGGGGGAGAGGAGAGGTTTGATAGGGGGAGGGTAAAAGGCGGGACCATAGGCAGCTCCCTATGGAGCATATTGCAAGGGAACAAGTCAAATCTGTCAAATGTAGAACATAAATGTCTTAACACAATAATCAAGTAAATGAGGCGAAAGCTATGTTGATTGGTTTGATGTAACTACATCAGATTGTATTAAAAAAAATCAACACATTGTACCCTACATGTGCATAAATGTATTCATGATCTATGTGTATTTGACTTAATAAAAAATAAACAAAAATTTAAAAAAGAAAAAACGGCCAAGAAAATGGCGTTTAACACATATCTTGTGACACTAACCAAAGATTGCTGTAAGATTTCGTTTTTTCTTTTGCATTTTTTGTTTTCAAAAAGAAGAAAAAATAATGGGTGAGTGGCACCTTATTATAGATACTGATGGTACTTGTAAGATGCAGTAAATATCACTGAGAGAAAAACAATAAGAATGTCTGAGGGAAGAAGAAATAAAGTCAAGAGCTAGTGAGCACAGTAGCTTAAATGAAAAGAGCAGCCTATCGGCAGAAAATTTCAAATGATTTTCTGAGAAAAGGAAATAACTCAGCCCTTGTCAGGTTCATTTACTAAATGATGATAGACTTTGAGTGAAAAGAAAATTCAGGGGGAAGAAAGACACAATGATTAAATGCATAAACTCTGGGTTAGGGACACCTGGACCTGCTACTTAATTACTGGGGCTGTATAACCTTGAACACCACACTCCACTCCTTTTCATTTTTCTGTACAACGGAAATGTTGATGATAATATTTACCCACAGTTTAAGAACTAAAAGTATGTGTAATCCTGTGGAGAGGGGCAGAAAAGGGAGCTTAGAGAGAAAGCACTCAGAATAATGTCTGGTCCTGAGTAGCTATTATGAATGAAGATGGTAGTTTACGGTTCCTAAAATAAGAGTGAGACTCTATGTAATTATGTGTTTTATTATATCTTGTTATATAAAGGTGCACTGTTACTGTATCACAGTGTGCTGCACAAGTTAGAGTAATCTTACTAAAAATGACATATTTATGCCAATTCCTCATCCTATGTGTGTTTTACAAAATAAATGAGTTCTGGCTCCCTCTTGCCCAGAAATGTAAAATTTATAAGGTTGCTCTTATAGTTTACTTGGGCTGAACTCAAGCACACTCAGAAGCAGCAGCTAAAATATGCATCACGTAATTTTGTTCAATGTCTTCTTCATAAGGCTGATGAGAAAAAAGAAATCAATTTCTGGTTGGGGCCACTGTGTGTGGAGTTGGCACGTTCTCCCATGTCTGTCTGGGTTTTCCCCCAGTTACTCCAGCTTCCTCCCACATCCCAAAGATGTGCACGTTCAAACTGTCTACATCAGGGTTTTTCAACTTTTTTTTATCTTACGGCACACTTGAAGCTGTAGTTTGAACTTCCATAGCTTACTTAAGTTTTGTGGATTAAACAAAAGAGTTAAAGGTGGCGCCTGTGGCTCAAGGAGTAGGAAGCCAGCCCCACATACCAGAGGTGGCAGGTTCAGACCTGGCCCCAGCCCAAAACTGCAAAATAAATAAAGAAATAAATAAAAAGCAACTCTCTTTGTTTAAAAATAAATAAACAAAAGAGTTTTAAAAAGAAAATACTTACTGTGCTTTGAACTTCTTTCGAAAATAGTTTAACTAATGATCTTTAAAAATTTTTGCAGCACATCTAAGATACTATCAAGGCACATCAGTTGAAAATTTCTAGTCTACATAGCCGCCGTCTGAGCAAGTGTGTCTGTGGGGTGGGGTGGAGGGGGTGAGTGCATTCTCTGACGGGTTGGAGTCCTAACCAGGGTGTGCTCCCACTTCAAGCCCTGAGCTGCTGGGAGAGCCTCTGATCACCCACCATCCTGAACTGGAATAAGTTGGTAAATAATTATCTCACTTATTTGTATTAATCTCTCTTAAATATATGTATAGCTCACATTTATTTCAATGTTTAATATTAGAATTGTTTTGGTCTTTATTTAGAAGCTGATGATGTTTTTGTGTCTAGAAATATGCCATAGAAACCTAATTCTTGTTTATATTAATGAACTTATTGGTTAAAATTGGTTTCATTTTGTCATTTTGCTGGAAGACGGTTTCCAAGAACTGACATTAAGTGAGGACTTACCATATTTGGCTATCACTGTGCTCAAGCAGTGAAAGCTCATTGGCTGAGAAAGAAAAAAGACAGAGGTGGAAGGTCAAAGTGCAGATGAGATGAGAAACAACATGTGAGAATGGTAGAGAAACAGAGAAAATCACACACAGTCAGAGAGAAGACAGAAATGGAGAGGGGCAGACACACAGACAGAGAGATCTCCAAAGATGGAGAGAAAGAGATCACCCAATTCCCGGCGGCTTTCTTCTCTACCTGACTCCAGAATCGTGTGAGGACTACTTGTGTTTCCTATCTTGAAGTTTGATGAAATATCCACAATACACTGCCTATCAACTGAGCTTAAATGAATTTAAATTTGGTTTTTGTTGTTTACAACTAAAAGAATATTGTCTGACACCACTGGAAAATATATGCCATATAAATTCTTGAATATTTTGTTGTGTTTTTACATTTTGCTGGAGAAGGAATAGAAAAATACAATTGCATTTAACTATTGCAGTCCTGTGTTTAGGGGGGAATTAGATTGGTCCTTGGACCATACAGAACCTACCTAATCACAAAGTTTTAGGGAGAAGTATAATTTGTTCATTGCAGAGTAAAGAAAAATCAGTAAAGAAAAACCTGTAGCTCATAGGGCTAGGGCACCAAACACATACACCTGAGCTGGCAGGTTCGAATCCACCCCAAGCCTGCCAAACAACAATGACAACTACAACCAAAAAATAGCCGGGTGTTGTGGTGGGCATCTGTAGTCCCAGCTACTTGGGAGGCTAAGGCAAGAGAATCACTTCAGCCCAAGAGTTTGAGGTTGCTGTGAGCTGTGATTCTATGGCACTCTATCCAGGGCAACAGCTGGAGACTTTGTCTCAAAGAAAAAAGAAAGAAAAATCAGAAGCACAGCTCAATACGTTTCACAAGAAAGATACTTCAGTGCTAGAAAGACTGAAGTACCATAGCAGCTTTT